CACAAAAACGAAAACAGCTGAGCTTAAGTTTTCTTATCACTTCAGATTTGTAGCACGCTCTGAGAGCTATCCAAATCACTATTCGGATGTCGATAATGAGTGATCTTTCACGCAGAAAAATGAAAAACAAAAGGTGCCTTAAAATTTTGTCCGCCACTTTATAAGGACTAAATAATTATGACGTTTAATTCTTTTTTTTAAACAAAGCATTCTCTATTGTTCTTTTTCTTTTATTGTATTCAGTTTATTAAAAGAAAATTCTTATTCGTTCACAAAAAACCTACAAAAGTCTTTTCAGTTATTTAGACTATTTGTCATCCTTTTGAATGAATGATTTGAAGAAAAAGCCAATAACATATTTAATTCATTTGTCAAATATTGATTCTCATCGTATTAACAAATTAATCGTACTCAAACAGGACAATCAATTAATAATAAAAATTGTTAGAGACATAAAAGAAAGATAAAAACTTTGAATTTTTACGGCTAAAATTTTTCGTTTAATTTTGAATTACTATGAACTTAGGCGATTATATCTGTTTCTGACGTTTGTTTCATGAATATCCTATTGTATTACGCTTTGTTTATTCGACTACAGTTGTTGATCATCCAAAAATATAAAATTAAAATCATATCAATACAACTGAACATTAAAAAAATTATTTATTGTACATATAATAATATTTATTAGAGTCAGAAGTTTTTATTTCTCATCCAAGATGAAATCTACGACTGAATAATACATATCAATATTCATTTAAATCTAGCACTGCGTTGGTCTTTTATTCACTGTTTTTTTATATCAAGATTTAGAATTCGAATATTTGACACTGAATATTCAAATAAATCTGAATCATTATTTTAACCTTTAGTTTCTGTATAAACAACACATAGAAACAATTTATTTTTTTTTAATTTTTATTGATTTAATAAATCTTTTTCCCGTCTCTTTTCTTTTCCAGCCATAATAGCTTATTGAAATAATATCAAATAAAATTCAATTAATTTTGGTGTATCATCATTGCTTGGAATAGGATAAGTTATAATATGTATCGCATAAAACTACAGTTGGAATTAATAATTTATTTGAATCACTAATAGCTGGATGAAGTTGATTTGGTGGTGATAATGTATGTGTAAATATACATACATCAGGTAAACGAATATCATATCCAAATAAAGCTTGAGTATTTGTAAATGGATAATCCCATTTTCTACAATGTGCATATTCACCACAATCACGTGCAGCACGTTCAACAAGTGGAATATGTGCTGGATAACGTGTAAGAAATAAAATAATTTCTTGACGATAAGCTATATGAGCAAGAAAATTTAATGCTGAATGAAGCATTGGTAAGGTTTTATCCAAATCAATAATATCAACATCTAATCGATGACCATATATATATTGAGACATCCATGGATTACCCATTCCAGTTACATGTTCATAATGAGCACGATTTCTATAAATAAATAAATAAATAATTATTTTCTTGTCAAGAAGGTATCATTTCTTTATTTATCTTTCCTATGTAAATAACTACAAACATACCTACTTGAAAAGATCTTCAAGTGTAACCATTGATCGTACATTGAAATAATCATTATGTTGAAGAGGATCATCAATTACAGTTAGAATATTTGATGAACAATCAGGTTTTACACCCGGAAGGAGGCTGCAAACACGGATATTATCTTTATGCGAAGATTTAAGACTAACAATTGCTGCTAGTAATCGTCCAGCATTAATAATCTTCGTGGACTTTACGACTGCCTTTGATCGGATGTGGTTTCCAGCTCTGATAAGTAATTTATTAGAACTGGAAATGCCGCTGCGCACGAAAGCGTTTTTCTGTAAACTGGTCCGGTGGATTTATCTGTGGCTGCAGAATAGATCTCTCTCAATCTGCCACGGTGAAGCCAGCTCAAGAGTAATAAAACTTTTTGTGGGAACTCCTCAAGGTTCAGTCCCATGTAGAAATTTTTCAGTTAATTTCTG